ACTACTTAGTATATTACGATATTTACCTGGATCCCCACGATGTAGGATATGACACAAGGCCAAATTTAATGTGTGGAAATCCGAACTCGTGGGCTCGGGCAAAAATTGCCTGTAGAACCTGCATACGCAGGATCAGGTGCCTGTCAAGCTCCTTGGACGAGACTCTGCCCTTTGTCCGGGTTCCTCTCTTCCTTCGGACAGAGAGTTTGACACGGCAAAAGCTTCCCACGCTGACAGCTCACGCTGACAGCATAGACAGCATATTACCCTAAATTGTAATAGTGATAATATAATTTTGATATAATTCTTTACCAAATCTATTATCTAAGAAAGGTAGTAACAGGGATGGGGTTCTTAGAATGTTATTGAGCCTATCACATCGAGGGAGTTTTTTCTGTGCTCATGGCTACAATCTTCTGATGGGTTTTCTGGTATTTTCCTAATTTATATATTAGTATTTTAAATCAATCCTAGTGTCCCTATTAATATTCGGATAGTTACTATTCCAGTAATTATAGAAGAACTAGAACTGTGGTTGGCAGACCCCTAAAGAGACAACACCCGGGAAGCTTATTTTCAGAACTCCAAACTAATTTTATTCCGCAGTTAAATTTGGCAATACAATATCTGTACGATATTCTTCTTTGTGCCGTGTCTCTTCAGGATGTAAGCGATCATGGCCCTCCACATCTTCCTGTCCCTTTTATCTCTTAATAACTTTTGTCTTTTAGTTACTTCTCCCAAACCCTGTTCTACCATCTATTTACTAAAGTAAATCAAGTATGTTACACGCTGATTTCCTCTGTCTTTCTTTCTCTCAATCTGTTCTGTGAGTATCAGTTTTTCCATGCCTTCCTTCCTCATTACGTGCCCCAGAAACCTCAACTACTTTTTCCTGGCGTTAAGTATAAGTTTCCTTTTTGTTTCCATTCTTTCCAAAACATAGTTGTTGATCAAATGTTAGGCCTTTGGTATCCTCAGTATCCTTCTGTAGAACCACATTTCTGTTGTTTCAAGACTCTTCTTCATCTTAGAGGAGATTGTCAAGCATTCGCTGCCATATAGGAGGACAGATATCACGTAACAATTCAGTACTCTTTTCTTTGCTTCCAACGAAATTTATCTGTCTCTTAATACTCTGCTTAGCTTTTGAAAAGCATCTTTGGCCAGTCCAATACCTCTTCGGATCTCAGTTTCGGACTTTCCGTCCTCAGAACACTTTCCAGATATTTAAATTCCTGTATTTCTTTGATTTTAGTATCACTGATTTGTAATTTGCATTTGAGGCTCATCCTTTTGCTAATAACAATGCATTCTGTCTTCTGGTAGTTTATACTTAGTCCTTTCTTCTCGCTTTCCTTCGTTACCTTCTGTAAGAGATTTTCCTTTCCGTGTCTGCTATCAGCACTGTGTTATCTTCATATCTTATATTCGTAAGACTGTGGCCGCCAATAAATGAATCCTGGTAGGATTTCTAATTCTATCAGAATTGCCTCGCTACTCTATCCACAGCCCAACTCTGAGCAAACGTGGTCCCTGGAGTGTTAGACATTTAGAAATGATTCACTTGGAAAAGTAAGACGGACACTCGAATTTCTAGCCAGACAACGAATGAGGTAAACACCCCACCGTGCAAATTTCTATTGCTTTTGCGAGAGGGTCGCCTAGATGTGCTGTGATGAGACCAGGTTCTCTTTTACGCAAATGGTGTCCGCTTGCGTGTGCAACGTGGAATTATGGAGCTGCATCTTCTAAAGTTTATTCACCTGACGTATTGTGGGATACCATGTTACAATTTTCGGTCACCTTCGGTATTTGTAGAGGGAATGTTGAATACAGTAATTTCCATCTCAGTCTGTTAAGCTTCTATTTTTGCAACAGGCTGACGATAAGTTTTTGCAGCAGAATAATGCCTGTCCACATTATACCCGTACTACACAACACGCTCTGCGTGATTTTCGACAAATTCCCTGACTGACACGATTACTAAACATTAGAAATGATGGAACAGATCCGATTGATTCAGCTGACCTACCTAAATTTTAATGTATTGCATTCAGGAAAATATCCACGCGGGAATCTCTTATATGAAGTAGCAGTTATTAAGAAAAATGACCTTCATGTGTGTTTAATATAATTCTTTAATGTAATGCGATATATTTAGAGATTCTTGATAAAATCCAATGAAGAATGTTGACCTGGTATCTCACCTTCAGTCACTTTCCCACTATTGTAATGTAACTTCCCTCTGCCTTTTCTATAAATACTTTCATGGTAACTGCTCTGATGAACTTTCCTCGTTGGTATCTAGACTTTATGAATTTAAGCGCAGTACCAGATTGGCTGTTAGGTCTCATCATTTTACAGTTGAAATAGCTAGATGTAACCATAAGTTCTATGCTAACAGTTTCATATCTCGCACTTCTCGCTTGTAGAGTTTTCTTGCTTTCCAGTCGACTTTAAAGTTCAAAAATTTAAACACGATATCAATCGTTATCTTCTGTCTTCTTAAGTCCTGTTCTTTTATCGTTCTCTCTCCTTAATAGTTTTTTCTCATGTTTTTTAACACTCAGTAGACCCTTGTGTCTTAGTGGCTTTATTGCCTTGTTTAGGGTCAAAAGATTTAAACAATCCAATTTTAACACCAATAAATTTAATCTTGAGTCAATTGAAACAGATATTCAAATTTTGTAATTTTATTTTTTGTTAATTTAGTTGTGGCAACCCTCTTAGCCGCGTGCTAGATTGGAAGGTATGCGTACAGCTTAAGTCTTTTTTCAGAGCCAGGTAAATCGAGCTACGTCATGGTTGGAATGGCGTGATGTCACCGTATGCTAACATCTTCTCTCGTATTTCTCGTCTTGTGGAACTCTCTTGCTGCCCAGTCAACTTTGATCTTGAAAGATTTAAATGTAATGACAATCGTCATCTTCTGACTCCTTAATACCTGTTCTTTTATTGCCCTCTCTCCTTAATAAATTCACACTCTTTGGGTCTTGTTACTGGATCTAACTAACGCCTTTATCCACTGTGCCATGTGCCCTTGTGTTCAATACCCGGTTGAGGCAGTGGAGAACTTGGAGAGGGAAATTAACAGGAGATAACTGACCACTGACATCCATTAAACATGGCACGTGGAACTAGAACAGTCTAGCCAAGTGAGCGAAATAAAGGGTTCAGTTCGATATTCCAACCACCTGAAGAAGGCCGGAGCGTACAACGGTCGAAACATCGTAATAAATATGGCGACAAAGATGAGGACAATAGTCCGAATAATCTACATAATACCTCATCACAGAAATATAGACAGATACAGAAATATTGATCTCTTCATAGTATTCACACTGCTATCAAAATACTGAAAAAACACTATGACACAAAGAACAATCAGATTAAAGAGACATGTTTTATTTCAGGATAATAATAATAATAATATATATATATATATATATATATATATATATATATATATATATATATATAATAAATAAAAAAGAAAGAAATAAAAGAAAAGAAAGAACAGTATATAATCCGGTGTTCTTATAGATACTTTTATTTTTACAAAATAGTGCTCAATGTAAATTTACAGAGCATTAATATTACCATATTTTAAATCAATTAATATATATATATATATATATATATATATATATATATATATATATATATATATATATATATGTGTGTGTGTGGTTATATATATATATATATATATATATATATATATATATATATATATATATATATTTATGTATATATAGAGAGAGAGAGGGCACGAGGATCGCACCGAAAGTAATGCTTCCCATTTTATTCTGTTATCATATGATGACAGTAGTGAATATTGATGGTACAGCTGTAGACGTTGAAGCTTCGGGCGAGCAACATATTTTGCCATGTTAGATAACAGCTTAGCGGCAGTTTGGCAAAATGCTATCTGACATGAAGATACGACGAAGTGTTTCATCGAAGTCCACCTGCGGAGAGGGGTAATTAAACCCATTGACAATTATTGGAGCTTACTGAGCGTTTACAGAGACCAGTAAGTGGATAAGAGCACAGGAAAATGAGAATTTCATTTCAGCTTCACCGGTATAAAGAAATGAGTAGCCTCTGAAAAGTGCAGTTTTTTGGGGTTTTTTTTCTGAGCGTGTCAGGCTCCTCGTTATCGCTGCTGAAAAAATATAGTCATTGGTTTTGGCTATTCATACAAATAGTGTTTTGTGGCTGAAATATTCCTCTGTCGAAAGGAGTTATTATGTCTTCTGTATTTTTTTAATGTTTTTCGAAGACATAAATAAATGTTTCTTAAGTACTTGTATATGAATAAATGTGTGATTGAAATTGATTTAAAGAAAAATTTGTTTGTTTTCACCCCTAATCACAACCAATGTTTCAATTTTGAAATGCCCTTGGAAAGCCAAGATATGATTATATTAATGATTACTTCATGTAATCAAAATGACGAATCTTAAAATGATTCTATAAATAATATATAATTGTTTTAGTTCATTTCTATGAAATTCATTTGGTTTTTATTTTGGTTTACAAGTGTTGAACATCGGCAGTGATCAGACGGAGAATAATAGTTTGGCTGTTATGGCTTTTGTCGAAGAGAATCCGACAAACTTTTTGACAAAGATATTTTTTTCTTTTTTTTTTCTTTTTTTTTTACGTGTTTTTTTTTTCTTTTTTTCAAAATTACAGGATATTAAAAAAAAAAAAACTTTTTCTTCTTTCAACAACAACAAAAAATATGCGAATATTAAAATGAATTAAGACCTGACATGAATGAAAATTGGTTTCTTTCCTTGATTTTCTCGACTCAATAAATCTGTTTCCGGTCGACTCTGTTATGTATTTTTGACTTTCTTTTCATCCAGATCGGCTATCTGATCCGTCATATTGAGCCAAAATGTCTTCCGTAATTGTTAATTGCAATCAAGACGGAAAATCCCATAGGATTGGTAAGTAAAAGAAGCTAGAAAAAAAACATTGGACGTTTATTTGTTGACCAATCGGAAGAAGCCAAGCTTTACTCTGAGTTGTTGAGCGGAAGTCGCGATCAATAAGGCAATATTAATCAATACAATCGTCGTACCATAAATATAGAACGGCTGTCGATAAGAATTCGTGTACTCGACCAACAAACCTATGAAAAAATGTAAAAAAAAATCATTAGTAAAAAGTTTCAATATCATTAAGCATTGTCAATTACATGACGGACACACAAACAAAAGAGAATTATATATACATATATATATATATGTGTGTGTGTGTGTGTGTGTGTGTGTCTTGAACAATAAAAAATGTTAAAAATTAAAATTTCAGACTCACTGGATTGTATATTAATATTTTTGTTTTATTTTTTAAAATTTGGTTTCTCGACTTGTTCAGCCAGCTTGGCCATCATCAGGAGATGATTATTAGTAGCAGTGAACTATCGGCGTGAATGACTGTCTCTGCCTATAGGAAAAAAATGCAACTGGGTTTTTTACATGTAACTATGCCATGACAAATCTCGGATCTAATTGGCGTTGGGGAATTATTTCCGTTTTATTCAAAATGCCAGATTGCTGTTTAAAAATGCAATCTGATTGGCCGATTATGATAACGTGATCAGTCATTTCTGCGCCCAAAATTGATGATCAAGCAATTTTGTTGTCCAAATATGGGAATGTCATTGTTCAGTAGACGTGGCCAATGACACCGAAGTGATACGTAGTTCATGGCAACGTGTTAATTAGTTCAGATCAATAAGGTTTAAGTAGTTCAAGTGGCAGGAATTCTATTTTATTGACTCTTAGTGACAATCCTAAAATTTTCAATGTACAAGAATTAAATGTATGTGTGTATGTGTAGAAATATTTTAGTGTTTCCAACTATATCGGAATTTGCAAAGATAATATGACATAAAATAAAAGCAATAAGAGTAATAATAATGTTGATGGCAAATAAAGAAGTATTTTACATGAGTAGCGTGCCTATATAAGTGTGGTAATTGTTTTTAAATTAAGATATAGAAGTCGCCAATTTTTTTTTTTAAATTTTGACAAATGGAAACGTTTCATGAAATAGATTTAATTAAAAATAGATTTGGTTATGCATTTCACTATTCAACGCTTTATCCGAAAACAAAAGAATTAAATATGTGTATATGTATTTGTGTGTATGCATAGATAATGAATCTTAGTCATAAAATCTTAATGGCTGGCCACTCGTATTCGCTGATACCCATCTTCTAGGGTATCTAACTAATCCCTATTGTAGACGCTTGCGCAGGTGCATTTGTGTTTGTTCAACACCTACAGAACCCACTGCAACTATGTTGAGCAGACCATAGTAACCGTTTCTGGGAGAAAGAGTGTGTTATCTAGCGTGATCAACAGTCTGAACAAGGCCAGCACGCATGAACGTCGCTCACGATGACTTGTGACTTCGTGCCAGCACAGCCATCGACGGCTCCCAAGTGTTCCGACTCACAAGACTTGGCTCCACTCGGGATGTGGTTTTCAGGCAAATGTGCCACACGCTGAGATCGTGACAATATTTCGCGGCACACTTCTGAGGATCGCGCGTCTCACTAGAATGCCACGGCACGGCGGTTGAGAAACACTGTTCTAATCTTCTCGTCTAATTTCAACGTTAAGGCAAAGAGAACTATCTTCATCATCACCATCATCATCCCCTTCACCTTTGTTTTGTAATCGTAAGGCTGATCCGAATGCAGAAGCGACACTAACTTTTTTCATTAACGGTTCTTTCAGTATTTCCGTTAGTCATACCTGATGTATTTTTTGACATTGTCCAACCAGTTTTTGCGTTGGCGTCCTCTCCTCCGTCCACCTTCAACAGTGCCTTGCATGATGGTCTTGCACAGGTTCAGTAATGTGTCCAAAACCACGCCATTTTCACCGTTTGACAGTGGCGAGATGTTCCTTGTTTGTGGACGGAGGAGAGGATGCCAACGCAAAAACTGGTTGACAATGTCAAAAAAATACATCAGGTATGACTGTGCCAGAATTGCTGATGACTGCCGTTGATAAGAAGACCGTTACCAATTCCATATCCTGAGCATTTTTATAATGGTTTTCCATAGTAATTAAAAAAAAAAACAAATTACCTGTTAAAAATCCAAATAAGGCTGTAGTTAATCCATATGAAGTTTCTACAATACTCTGTCCTGAACTGTGTTTCTCAGGTCCAACAAGTTCCATGATACCAATAGTATACAGTCCAGCAGGACAACCCATCCAGAGTGCCAGTAATATACAGCAGACTAAGAGGATGACGTATGTCTCTGCGAGATTCATGAGGGCCATAGTCAACCCGAAAAGTGAGGCCATTGTGATGTAAATATGAATGAAATTTACTTTTGTATACTTTATTGCAATTCCGATTAAAATTCTAGACAAAAAAGAAACAAAGAAAATTGTTTAATCAAATGCGCTTCAATTATTGGATAAAATTCCAAGATTTTCTTTTAATATGACTTCGGACTTTATCAGTGCCTTTCTTAATTTTATTACGATATTTCGACTGGTCGTTGCTTCGGCCTTCTTCTGATGTCACATCCAGTACACACACACACACACACATATATATGTTTCGTTAAAGACGACTTACAAGGTACTGTGATTAAGCTTTTTATTTAATTGTTCTTCAGTATCTGTCTATATTTCTGAGATGAGGTATTATGTACATTATTTACATTACCCAGATTATTGTCCTCATCTTTGTCACCATATTTATTACAACGTTTCGGCCGTTCAGGATCTGTCTATATTTCTGAGATGACGTATTATGTAGACTATTTACACTATTCGGACTATTGTCCTCATCTTTGTCGCCATATTTATTACAACGTTTCGGCCTTTCAGTATATGTCTATATTTATGAGATGAGGTATTATTTACACTATTTACATTATTCGGACTATTCTCCTCATCTGTGTTGCCATATTTATTACAACGTTTCGGCCCTTCAGTATCTGTCTATATTTCTGAGATGAGGTATTATGTACACTATTTACTATTATTGTCATCATCTTTGTCGACATATCTATTACAACGTTTCGGCCGTTGTACGCTCAAGCCTTCTACAGGTGGTTGGAATGTCGAACTTAGCCCTTTATTTCGCTCACTGGGGTAGACTGTTCTAGTTCCACGTGCCATGTTTAAGGACACATGGCACTGTGGATAAAGGCGTTAGTTAGATCCAGTGACAGGACCCAAAGAGTGTGAGTTCAATACCCGGTTATGGCAGTGGAAAACTTGGAGAGGGAAATTAACAGGAGATAACTGATAACTGACATCCATTAAACATGTATGGCGACAAAGATGAGGACAATAGTTTATTGTTCTTGTGTTGAAAAAAGTGTTTTCTTTTCTGGACACAAAGTGCGTAAATTTCCTATAAGCTTAGACAATTAGATATTTAGTTAAAAATAAAAAAAAAGTAATCACCGCCCTAAAAGAATAGCCGAAAGCGCTTGGATATATAAAACTTTTGGACAATTTTTAAAAAGTTTATGTGCAAAAATGAAAACACTTCTACGAACATGAAAAATTAAATAAAATGCTTAATCGCAGTTCCTTGTCAGTCGTCTTTAGCAAAACATTTATAAAAGATGGATTGCTGCCCAAATACACATAATAATATATATATATATATATATATATATATATATATATATTAATCCGGCATTATTTCTAGAGATGCTGTGTGGTTTGAGTGAAAGAAAACAAGAGAGAGAGGAGATGAAAGAAGAGGCGTTAATGCTCGCCTGAGGTTAACGTCTGCCTCAATGAAATGAAAAAATTGTTAATTTCAAGTCTTTTCATCTGTACCCTCTTACGACTTTAAATAATGACCTGCATTCGTATTGAAGATTGTTATATCAATGTTTTATTAAAGTTGTTAAGCTCAAATATAAAACGTTGCAATAGGGGAATTTCCATGGCCATTCTATAAACATGAAATTCGCAAGTAACTTATTTAGTCATTAACCTAAGAATTACGATTCACCAGACATAGCGAAGCATCGTAATTTTCATTGGTATTGCTAGATTTTTTTGATTTTTTTTTTTAAGGATTTCACCCCAAGCAAAGCGAGAGTTTCACTAGCAAGCAAGGGGGTTACAGAGAATGAAAGTAGGGTTAAAGAGGAGTGTTCGAGAAAAGGATATAGAGAAGGACGGGAATAAGGATCAAGGTATCAGAAGATGTCGATTGACATTACATTTGAATATTTGACGATTATAGTTATCAGGGAAGCATGTAAGTGGAAGGGAGTTACACTGTCGGGAAGTGCGAAAGAAGAAGCTGTTGGAGAGGCGGTTACTATTTCGACAGTGAAAGGGTGGACCCGAGATGCCAAGCTAGTAGCACGCTTAAATTCATGCAGTTCGGATACTAGTGAAAGTAGCTCGTCATAGCAGTTGTCATGAAAATATTTGTAGAAAAGACAGAGGGGAGCCACATCACGTCTGTGAGAAAGTGACTGTAGACGAAATGCCAGATCAGGACCTATGACATTGCACATCCATATCTAGATTTTGTCTAGGACCTCGAGATAAACAGCGGGACCACCAGACCTTATATGGCAACAGTATTAAATATAAGGACGAATGGTAGATTTGTAGATTAGTAGGACACGTAATCAAAGAAATGTTCAGACTTATATTCCTAGCGCTAACCGGACACGACGTACACCTGATGAAAGATGGAGTAATGACCAGTCGAAAGTTTCTGATAAGACCACCTGAAATTTATCCGAAATCCTAACCGAAAATCGAATGGGAGAAAGAATAGAAAAATGAAGAAAAATGCATTTTTTTGCACTTTTCTCTTATCTCTTTTGGTTCTTTGAGAAGAGCGGGAAATTTTTGAAGATGTTGAACTTGGCGGTTCAAGGAATACACGTTTGGTTAATCTGAAGAAGAACTAAGCAAAAACATCTTAGCCTACAAACAGTTTTAACTCAATATATATATATATATATATATATATATATATATATATATATAAATTTAAAAAATGAATAAATTACGCTTCTTATACCTCATCGAGATCCGTCGAAAGAAATCTATCAACAGAAATGGAAAAGAAAAGTTAAGACATTTAAAGTGTCATTATTCTAATCCAAATAATAATAAAAAATTATTTAGTGATTAAATCAGCTGCGATCTTTTTATTAAATTTGAAGATATTTAATATCTATGTCCCAAAATTATGAAAGCAATTTTTCGGGTAATTTGCTTTTTAAGCCCCGCGCTAATTATGTAATAGAAATTTCCCAAATAGTTATATTTAGGCGTAAATGTACATCCTTAATTCGAAAATAACAAAGAAGGTTTGATAAAATCTACCGTTTTGGAGTTATCTACAAAAACATTTCGGACTCATTTGAGTCGCGGCTGACATTACTGGCGTTGTTTGCATATATTTGCTGCAGAATTAAGATTCATTTGTCTTGATGATTGCGCACGAAGTGAGTCCTCAGTTGCGAAGTAATAGAGATAAGTAGGAGCAGTAAAAAGGCCGTTAACAAAGTGATAAAATCTAACCAGTCGGGAATGTATGCAAACAACATCAGTAATGGCTGCCGTGCCGTAACGCAAATGAGTACAAGATTTTATTGTCGATAACTCCAAAACGGTAGATTTTATCAAAATCTCTTTGTTATTTTCGAATTAAGCATGTACTTTTAGACCTAAATATAACTATTCGGGAAATTGTTATTAGATACTTAGCACGGAGCTTAAAAACAAAATTATACAATTTTTCTTATACGCGCATGCGTACTCAATGACAATTTTTACGTTTCACGCTCATTAGAATCTCGACTTTACTGTCAGCGTCAAAGCACTGAGGTTAATTAATCACGAATAAAAGAAACAAAATTCCCTTATAATCAATTCAAAGAGAACAAAAATCATTATAAACCGAATCTTTGTAAATTTTCGCGGCGGATTTACATGAGATATTGTTCTGTTACAGTATTATTTTGCGTTACTTTTGTCTAAACAAAACACAGTAGAAATCTTGGATTTCTTTTGATCTGAAATAGTCAAATGTTCTTCAATCAGTTTAATTCATGAGAACACTGATGATATTACCCAAAATTAGCAACGATAAAAGTTTCCTGCCCACAAGTGATTAATTCCCATAAAAAAATGTTTCATATTTAGCAATGAACAATTTATCTATACACAAAACATCGTTTTCTAATTCCAACTTGATTCAAATCATTAACTAACACAAAAATTAATCTCACACTAAATATACAGGGTGTCCATAAAGTTCTTGTGCATTTTTAAAAATTTATAACTTTATTTGTATTTGCGATAGAAATAATCTGTAAAAAATGTTATAAAGTTTAATGTACCTAGTTTTAAGTATAGCTAAAATAACTAATGTGATTTCAAGCATTACTGTAAATCAGTTGGCAAATGTTTTGCGTGAACTGCAAAATTGTATTACCCTTTGTATTGCTAATGATAGAGGGCATGTGGAAACTTAAATAAAATTTCAATAAAATCTTTAAAAAATACAGATTTACTTCTTTCTAATCCTTTTTACAAATTATTTCTATCGCAAATACAAATAAAGTTATAAATTTTTTAAAGTGCACAAGAACTTTATGGACACCCTGTGTATATATTACTGGTAAATATGATACCCCTAAACTATTTGGAATCTCAAACACTGCTAAGTATTTAATAAAATACTTGATAATAAATCACATATTATATACATTTATATAACTAATATATCATTCATTTTATATAGTTAGTGCATTATGCGTCGCTGTGATCACAACCTCTCTCCATCTCAAAATTGTGGTTGGTTCATGGTGACATTGAAGGGAGAATAGTCCAGTGGCTTGCCAATTCCTTTTGCAGTCAGAGATGTTAAGTTTACCCCGTCCCTGCTATCAGAGGTGGATTTGTTTTTGAAGTTACCTTCTTCAAGTTTTTGCCTGAAGAGGCAGAATCTATAAGACAGCAGGTGGTTTGAATTCAGAGTTTCTTTCTCCTAGACTGGTTGCCACCCAAGTCTGTCTTTCTATTTTAAAAGCGAGTATTTCAGAATACTCTAATCGATTTTTCCCCCAAAATTAATTAAATATTAATCAATTATTTTACAATATTTTTCACCTGAGTTCACAAGAGAAAAATTCATTCAATATCTTTTGTTCTTCAATAAAAATCGATCACTGAAAAGAGAAAAAAGGACCTGGAAAAAAGTGTTAATCATTAATTAAAATTTTAATTAAAAATTAAATGTTTAAACTTAATTAAAATTTTAATTTTTAATTAAATAAAGAATATTTAATCTTATGTTAATCTGTTAAATTGCATTTTAACGGATTAGTTGCATAAATTATGGGAAGGTAGATATCTCTCCATTAAGTTTCCAATAGTTATTTTCCTTTGTATTTAAATGCGTGATTTTTATGGAAATAGTATTTAAATAATCACAAATACTTTTTAATTAAATACCAAATTTAACATTGAAAGAACTTTTTTTTCACGGCAAATTTTAAGCTCATAAATTCAAAAACAAATTCTAATATACAAATTAATAATTGTAAGTTATTATTTATAATTAATTCGGATGAAATGTTTTGTTATCATTATTATATATCCAGTAATTGCGTGTTCAGATTAAATGGTGGTTATGGCGAGTAAATGAGTGGGCATCTGGACAGTCTCAGCTCTTCTTCAAAATCATTTTCATTCGAGTGTTTCTGGCACAGATCCAAGTGCTTTCTCTATAAACATAACTTTTACATCTAACAGTATTATCACTTCCCGGTCAAGTTCCTGCTGTAGTTCAAGATGGAGTGCCAAATGTCCTCAAATCTCCAGCACATTTCACAGCACTCTCGTCTACTTTAACGTTACAATCGTCCGTCCGAATCTCTGCTGTAATTGATATTATAATTAGGATAGGTGCGTCCATCACCCACGTGTTTCACCAGGTCTTCAGTTCTTGGGTTATATAATATAATATATATATTATTATTATTATTATTACTTGATTTCTGCGGGAAGACCTAAGGCGGGTCTTGCAATGGCTACATTGCATGATTTATTTTTCCAACTTCCATAACATCACTAACGTTACAGGGCCAAAGTTCTTTGTGGGCTGGACTTACCAAGACAATTTTTTTATTTCTCTTAAGCTGGGATTTTTCCAATGTGTTGTTGTGTTCCTTTTTTATCATTCCAAGCACACCTACTATTTCCTTGAAGAAATAATAATAACAATAATAATAATTACTGGTCGTTTACAGAAGAGATCAAGTGAAAGCAAGTCCCCACAATATTTTAGCACTCTCCACAGTATCACAACTGTTTTCAATAACCCTTTATCTGGATGGCTCCAACACTTCTCACAATTTCTAGTTCCTGGAATCTTTTCTAGAGGCACTTCGGAACTGCTCCCAGTACTCCGATAATGACTGGTACGACTGTCTTCTTCAATTCTTTGGCGAGGTCGAGATACTTATCTATCGGAAGAAGAAAATCCATTATCTGGCGCTTCGTAGCAGTAGTAGTAGTAATAATGAAGCTGGGGAAAGTGGTAGTAATCGAACTATTTGTTTCTTATAATTGACACGAGCAATTGCAGCATTGTTTGCTGTTGTTGTCATGGTAAGAATTCAAAAACACCATCGATCGTTCACACTCACATTTTTCATACCATTGACTCTCTGTTAGAATAATACTCAGGGTAATTAAGGTTTATGCTTCTCGATTTTTTAAGACGAAATATACAAAAGCCTCACTCAGCATCAGACAGAAAGTGCTGAAATTTCTTGGACACATAATGAGGAATTAGGGCTTGGAGATTTTGACACTCACCGGACATATAAGGCAATAGAGATGGAGGAATTCGGCGGGCCACCTACTTCACCAGCCTCTATGAATGGATGGCTTGAACAGAGGGTGTGATGTCAGAAATACAAACGTTTTAGCCAAAAGTTGTGGACTGTCCTGATCGCCCACATCCTGACGGGACATAGCACATAGCAAAATAATTACCAAGTCTCTCAGTTATTATTCGTCATAACAACAAATAGGACAGCAAAATTATGCGGATTTTCAAATTAATTCCTAGACGTCATTCACGAATAATTCCTGCTTTTTAAATTTCAAATCATGAAAAAATAAAAGCTTCTTACAAAGGTCATTTTCCAAGAAACATTATCTACCATGAATAATATCGATATATTAAAGACGTTATATAAAATGCCCTTCACCATCAAGAAATTCTTTAAAAAGTGCATTAAGGCATATATGCTGTAAACCAACCTAATATAAAAAGTGTTGTGTTTTTTTTTTTCAAAAGCAGGTTGTATAGATAAAAAACAATTTCTTTTCTGGATTTTCATACCTGGGCACTGCCGATAGGATGTAATACAAAGCATATAGTTTGGCGGCTCCTTTCAAGTCGAGACCCTTCTCGTAGAGGAAATCTGGCAGCATGCTGAAAACTGTATTGATGCCACCAACAGTGATGCCTACACTGAAGATATACATGACAAAAAGGAAATTCTTTAGTACGCTGAGGTCGAGAAGTTTCTGCGATGCTTCGGGGTTTCTTTTGGCTTCCACTTCTGAATTTTGCGTGATCTTTGCTTCCTTCTGCGCGAAAGTTAGGAATATTCCCAAAGGGACGACCTGCAAATTGATTCCAGCTAATATAAACATGCAACCCCGCCATCCATAAAGTTCGATAATGATAGCAATCAGATTGGGGAATATGAGGCCGCCAATGGGACCAGCCACAGAGATAAAAGCGATGATTGGTTTCGCAACTTCCCCAAAATGGACACCGATGAAGATGAAAGCGTTGACAAACAAAAAACAATTACCCAGACCTGAAAGACAAAGAAAAGAGTGACAAAGAAGAAAACAATCGACCCCTATTTGGTACCCCAGTTAAGGAACCCTGTTAGACAAGCAGTAAAAATAAATGCATAAAATGAAATAAAGTATTTTGCCACTGAAAAATGGGTTTGGTACGTTTCGGCGTAGTCCATTTGGTGTCGTTGATTCGGCGTCAGAAAAATAATTGGACAATTCGGCACAGCTGACTAGGCATCAGATTGTTTCGACGTCACTGACTTTGACCGGGGGCGAACCACACGAAAAAAGTATAAATGCATTGAAACCACACAACTTCCAATATATCTTTTATTCATTATTATTATTATTATCATTCATCATATATATATATATATATATATATATATATATATATATATATATATATATATATATATATATATATATATATATATATATATATATATATATATATATATATATATATATATATATATATATATATATACTGCGTGCCAAATTATTATCAAGATAACTTTTTTTCTAATATTTCAAAAACCGTCCAATCAATTCACAGAAAATGTTCACCCAATGTTGGCAACACTGACCTGCGCAATCACTGGAATTTTCCTACTGATCTGCGCAATGTAAACAAACTGGCGACATATTTGTTATCAGCACGGTGATTTGAGCGTGCCAAATTATTAGAAAGGTTTAGTAAAATATATATATAGGGGTGGTGTAATGGTTAGCAAGCTTGTCTTGCTTGAACAATTACAACTGAGTAGTGAGTTCGATCCTCACTGAGTGCCCCTTACATTCGGCCTTGTGCCACATCTGAGCTATGCTTGGAAAATTACTATATTTATATATATATATATATTATAAGGGTTTGGTACGTTTTGTCGTCAGAAAAATAATTGGCCTATTCAGCACACCTTTTAATTCGTCAGACAATTTCGACGTCACTGTTTTTGACCGGAGGCAACCACCCCCCCCCACCCCCAAAAGGGAAGAAAAGCATTGAAAGCACCCAACTTTCAATATGACTTTTTATTAATTTAGGGAATTAAGGATTCTATTAAAAGACTAATGGAATAATGTAAATTAAAAACTTAAATTAAAAATATTTTATTTCAAAAAAATATAAAATTAAAAAAAAACTTAGTAAAGCTATTTAATCTTATTTTAATCTATCGTGTATCACTTTGTTTCTTCCATGTTTTGATAAAATAATTGCTTCCATTTTGGAATAAAAGGTCTTTGACGACAGAAAAATATGAAGCTGCACTGAATGAAATATAATATAAAAATACCTCCAAGTACTCTTTTTCTTAAATATAAAAATGCCTCCAACTACTCCTTTTCTTAAATATCAAAATACCTCCAACTACTCTTTTTCTTAAATATAAATATGCCTCCAACTACTCCTTTCCTTAAATATAAAAATGCCTCCAACAACTCTTTTTCTTAAATATAAAAATGCCTCCAACTACTCCTTTTCTTAAATATAAAAATGCCTCCAACAACTCTTTTTCTTAAATATAAAAATGCCTCCAACTACTCCTTTTCTTAAATATAAAAATGCCTCCAACAACTCTTTTTCTTAAATATAAATATGCCTCCAACTACTCCTTTCCTTAAATATAAAAATACCTCCAACTACTCTTTTTCTTAAAATAAAAATGCTTCTAACTCCTCCTTTTCTTAAATATAAAATGCCTCCAACAACTCCTTTTCTTAAATTGGACTATTCGAGCAAATTTGAGTATAACGACGAAGTGCGAATTTGACTACTAAACGAGAGTGGGAGAGAGATGTAGAAAGAGAGAGCGAAGGAGAAAGTGAAAGAGAGAGGAGGAGAAAGGGAAAGAGAGAGAGAGAGAGCAAATTTGACTATAACGACGAAGTAGGAATCTGACGCCTAATCGTTCCTCTGCAGAGAAATTCCTTTGTCGACTCGGCCACGCTGAATGAGCGACGCCAAATGGGCTACACCGGAACGTCTCATTCCCCTGAAAAAAAAGAAAGATTTATATGATTTTTAAGGATTCTGTATTCAATATAAGAATCAAAATTATTTTTATTAGCATTATTATTATTATTAATAATAATAATAATCATAATAAGAATAATAATATTAGCCATCAAAATACAAGGATCTTGCAGTGGAAATCTCAAAAGTGTAGCACATGAGGACATCAGTAATTCCAGTTGTAGATGGAGCACTCGGATTAATTGATAAAGGTTCCGATAGACATATTAAAGAGATTTTTGGTAGCCCATACTATAATGAAATACAAAAGGATTGTACTCACAAGTACAGCTTACATATTACGAAGAGCTTTACCTATGTAAAATATGTATGATCCTAGTTTTTAGCGCTTCTTTAATTGATCAGTGGAAAATGCCATGAAGCCATTTCTGACCTCGGGTCCCTTGTTGGGACTCGAATGCAAATATGTACACGACAGAAATCAAAGGAAATAATAATAATAATAATAATAATAACAATTGTGTTAGCTCAAAATGCAGAATCTGTGATAAATATCCAGAAACAATTGATCAGGTTGCACGATATTGGCACCCACTGAGTATAAAACCCGGCATGACAGAGTGGGCCAATATCTGCACTGGCAAATTTGCAACGTCTACGGGAAGGAAACCGAAAGAAACTGGTATGAACACCACCCAGACCTGGTTACGGAGATAGAACCTGTACCAATTCTATGGGATTACACAATACACACTGACAGAAAAATCAAAGCCAACCGCCCAGATATTGTTATTAAAGACCACAAACAAAAAAAAGTGCCTCTTTATTGATATGGCAGTCCCTGCTGACTGCAATGTATCTTTGAAGATATTCAAAAAGCTGTCAAAATACAAGGACCTTGAAATCGAAATCTCAAAATGTGGCATATGGGAACATCAACAATCCCCTGTTGTAGTTGGAGCCCTAGGATTGGTTGGAAAAGATTCCAGTAGACTCTTTGAAGGGATTCCTGGAAGTCCATGCCTCAAGGAGATACAAAAAAATTGTTCTGACAAGTACAGCCCACTCTTTACGAAGGGCTTTATCTATGTATTTTTTTTTTTTTTTGTCAGTGGAAAGTCTCATGATGCCATTTCTAATCTTAGGTCTCTGGGCGGGACCCGGAAAGAAATGTGTAAACGCTAGAAATCAAAGAAAATAAAAAATAATAATAATAATGATAAAGAACATGAAAGAAAGAAGAAACTTTATTCCGTGATAAAAGAAGCCAACAATTTCAAAACGGGAATTTCAAGTGGACGAACAAGAGCAAGTAAGCCATAATACATCTACAGCAATGGCAAAGGATGGGCGAAAACAAATGCAGCTACGATAACAAGATAACATTCTTCAAGATCAATACCATTTTCCATCAGCTTGCACCAACAGAATAGTATCCACCGAATATAAAACACGTCATGATAGCGTGGGTCAATATGATATGTCCCGGAAAATGATATATTTGATCGAAGTAGCTAAGTGTTTTTGGCTACTATAACCAAGTAGAATACGGTAGCAGTAATCGACTGGTACGCGTCGTAGTCGCAGGTAAGATGTGTAGATCAACAGGATAGCCAATGGCGTAGTCCAATGGGCGTCGTCATAGACTTAAAC